TTAAATAATCTTCTCTGTGAATCTTCACTCAGATCTTTCCAAACTGGAATACGTTTTCTGGGGTCCTTGCAACAGGACTAAGATGAAGCTCTCTCTGCTGGTAACCCCACAGAGCACATGAATTACTAGCAACCGCAAAAGGAAATGTCTTTATCAGAGAACTTTATCATGATTTTTTTGTTGCAGTTTAGTTCTTTTTGCTAGTGGAAACTTAATTAGTTGTCCACTAGATTCTTGTTCTCATGAAGACGTTTGCCAGGTCAAACTGACTATATCTGTGACCTTGCAGCCTTATTTTTTGAGAAAGAAAACCTTTTTCTCACCAAGAATCTGTGGTGTACCACAGACAAGAAAAAAAAAGCCAAAATCCCGCTGAGGGATTAAATAGACGAAGAAAGATAACATCAGATCTCAATTAAAAAAAAAAAAAAAAAAAAAAATCAAATGCTATTCTGGTAAGTGGCCATTACAGACAAACCTGATCTGTGGACCAAACCAGAAATAAAGGGACTACCTGGGCTGAGAAAAGTTGTCTCGGTTTCCCTGGGCTGGGAAGCCGCTATTGTTGACGCAGACCCACTTGTGCTGCCAGGGTAGTGCAGAGCTCATTGCAAATGCAAAGCCCCAGCTGGGGGTAGGAAGAACTAAATGTGCTAAATGCTCGGCTGGTGAGTGCCCATACCAATCGCCCCGCGTCGGGGAGCGGGGTTTCCTCCCCCACTCCCATCTCTCTCCCCATTATTCTCCATTCAAGCTGAAAGCGAGAAGGTCTTTTCCTCTGCCGCTCGGTGTCAGCCAGACTTGGGAAGCTCCGCAGGAATTGCTGAGCGATCCAGAAACGCACAAAAGCCTCCTTCCACAAAGCGCCCTTTCATCTAGGCAGTGTGTCTATTAAATACGTCCTGTTAATGTGCATACATTTTTATAAAGAGATTATAAAGTGAAGACTCAGTCACTAACTCAACTACACAATAAGATTTTTAAGTCTATTACTAGAAAATCGAGGTTTAAAATGAGTAGCTTGGAATGCTTCACAACTCCTCTGCAGTAATACTCAAACAGGTCTGGTACCCGCAACGACAGCTGAAGGCGTACTTTGTATGTTTTAATGCTTTAATTTCTTTATTTGGCGACACGCAGGAATCTCAGACCAAGACCACTCCGCATTCGGCATCGTTCAGGGATAAAACAGAAAGGACGATTCAAAGCCCTGACAGTGTACGTGCACCAAACATGATGCTCAGAGGACAGCAGCATCTCCGCTCCGAAGGGTTAGCAAGTTCAAAAAAAAAAAAAAAGAAAAAGAAAAGTGTTTGATCGGATCCTGCTCTTCCATTGTGGTGTCAGGATGAACTGGTGAGCTGCCATTCCTGAGCATTTGCTCCTGCTCTCATCAAAACCAAAACAGTGAACAGCCACTTTATCTGCTTTCTCCATTATACCACTTTCTACATCTTTTTCCTCCCCTTCCTTTGCCCACAGGGGCTCAGCGTCTTCCAAGATTTTGAATAACTAAGTCAGGTAGATATAAATTCTTGCTAGCCCTGTGAGAAAGCAAGTTATTTTCTGCCCACCGAAAGGCAAAAAAAAAAAAAGAATGTCTTTTTTCTTTCTGCATCAAAGCAAGGCCACAAGTTGACAATCTTCACCAGCATGGGTATGGCTGTACGCCAGCTTCACATACCGGCCTTTGCAGGATCTGCAGCTAGCCACACTGCCAGCCCGCAGACTTACTATAGCAAGGTTTTAATATTTTAAATATATTTTTGGACAGGCAATCAGACTTAGGGCCCAATGCTAACACTGGCTCTAACCTTATTTCAGAGCAAGAATCCCAAAAAGGCCGTAAATCGGTTTCCAGTATTAAAATGAAATGCCATCTCCTAGCAGCAGTGGCAAAAACCCAGTCCAGCTCCTCGTTGCGGACACAGCAGAAGAGCGGACGGTTGCAAAACTGCTGGGTTTTGCCATATAGACAGTGCCCTGGAGATCTCCAGGTCTACACGTTCGCAGCCCTAGGCATCCATCCGGCTCCCTGCCAGTCCCTCAGGGACATCTTCTATCAAGCGCAAAATTTCAGGGGATCTGTTACAATCGTGTTATTTCTTGTGCTGACCGGAGACATGTGTCCCCCTGCCATACCAGAGCCGTGAACCGACCACCTCAGTCCCACGCACGTCACGCGGAGGAAGGCTAAGTGCTCGTCCGATGCCGACGGGCAGGGAAATTGCTTCCAGCACGCTGGTGGTACTGGAAAGCAAGGAGACAGGGAACTGCAAAAACGACACAAAACAAGCAAGCAAGAGCTCAGGAAACGGTGGAGCGATGCTGGAAGGCAGCAGAAACCCAGCTCTGCTGCACCTTTGGTCTGCACGAGAGAGCCTAAAGTACAACTTCATGGGAACACCCTACGTTTCCCAATGGGTCAAGGTTTGGGGTCAAAAGCCTTGAACACACAGTAACATTTTTTTGTATCAAAGCTGCACCACGATATTGATTAATAAAAGTAGGTGAGAATCTGGAATAAGCCTGACCTCACTATATGTGCATCTAAGCAAAGCAGCTCTCATCTAACGTGGCTCAGAAGAGACAACAGCTTTCACTACATTTTCAAAGAATCCCACAACAATGCATTTCTCTACTAAAATTTTTAATGACTGTGTTATCCCTTTCTAGCTGCTTAGTTTTCCTCCTCCTCTTTAGCATGAATTTGCAGGCTCTAATAAATCATCCAGACGACACACTCGAAGCAGAGAGCACACTCAGCAGGTCTTACTTTTCAAATGAGCCTTCACATAGCAGCTCTGCATTCATTTCGTCCTGCTCCAGGTCTTCTTGCCTTCTCAAAATAGCTGCTGCACCTCTGCTCCTCCAAGAGAAATCCACCATTTCAGACACTGAAAACCATGGCAATGTATGTTGGGTTTCATTTATTTTTGGAAGCTGACTTTCTATTCTTGGATACGTTTGAAAAAGCATCATTTGAATGTCTGAGGTTGCAATTACCAGAACGTGTTTTTTTAAATGTATTTCTAGACTTACAATCAACAACTTACTGAATAAATACATAAATATGAAGGGGGAGGCAAAATTACATTTACGTGACATGGTGAATCAGTATTTTAAAATTCATTAGATTCAATTTCTTACCAAACAGAAACAAATGACTAGTCATTTCTATTAAGCTGGTTATCTACTATTATGGTAACGTTGGAGCTATTTTAATTTTGGCTTTGCATCCAGTAGTTTTAATGGAAATACAGTATCATCAGTATGTCATTACCTAAAATGTTAAAAACTGAACACAATTTTTGAAATAAAATCCCTCAGTCCCAGCAGCGAGCCCAGCACAGCACCGGTACCTCCGCCAAGAACAGCTGGATCTTCAGCTAACTGATTTTAACAACTTCAAGATCATCAAGCATATCCCTCAGAGCAGCTACCGAAATCACCTAGGGCTACGTAAAATACAACAGCAGCAGAATTCAAGGGGAAGACCCAGAAAATTATAATTTAAAATGATAGTTTCGTTTCAAAAATAAAAACTGAAAAAGCAAAATAGACTTTATTTTTTCCCGAATTACACTACTGAGCAGTAACTTACAAGAGAAGGTAGGCTACTTAAGTGACCCTAGCTTTGTATTTGCGACCTCGACATTGGTGAAGCTAATCTTAAGCCAAAAAAGTTTGAAAAGTTTGCAATTTTCATCCTCCTCCTGCAATGTATTTGAATATTAAATTTTTTCCAATTTTTTTTTTTTTTTTTTAAATCATGACCTTCTACAAGCAAGACACAAGAGACTGTGTATCCAGGAAAAACATTTTCTAATTTTAATCTAACAGATCAAAGACTGAAATTTACAGTTTAAAAACAGATGCCTGACCACTGCTGGATGATGTGACAAACGAGCCGACCTCAGTGCTTATTCCTGTCTTCCTGCCTGCACCAGAAGGTGCAGTTTTCCCTATAAATTGTTTTCTGTAGCTGAACTCCACCAAGCCAGACCACGGGAATAAATCTGGCATCACACCTGGCAGTCCTGGATAGCCACTGGGAAAATAAATGAAAGACAACTAAGAAATTCACATTACACATGATTCTTTGGGCAAACAATATGCCCAAGGAAGTCTAACTACCTAGACCGCAGTTATAGCATATTTAAATTAAATATCCTTTCCTTGTTAAAATTGTGAAATATATTATCCTCAAATTAAATATCCTTTCATTTTATATCCTTCGTATGCCTTCCATACAACACAAAAATTCTGTCCGTAAAATGTTGGTTTGGCCTCTCTCAAATACACCGGTCCACGAGGGCTTGACCATGCCAGCTGTTGTCAGCTGGGAGCTGAACCTGCGACCACGCACCCCCTTCAGCCTCCACCGCCCACGACACACTGAACTGCAATTCAGGATCCACTGAGTTGAAGTAGCCCTTCCTCCTCCATTTTACACTCCTTGCAATGGGGAGAGATCCTGCTTCTTTCTCTTCCTCCAAACGATGTTAAAATCAAAAGTCAGAAACCCTGTATGACTTCTGTATTGGAAAAAACAAGGGAAAATAACATGCTAGTTCACTAGCAAAACAATAAAAACATCCTGAAAACAACCTCCTTCTGGACCAATCTTCCATCAGCATATGCCCACATGTTGATTTGCAATGGACAGGCTACCACTGAAAGCAAACACTTCAGGCAAGCTTAATTTTGCTCCCACGAAGCACACGCCTCTAGCCATACCAAGGTGGCTGTTGCAGAGTATTCCCAAAAAGTGCTCCTCACCTGAGGCTTGCCAACATGTACAACATCTCAGCATCTACTTCACCCTGAAAACCATCACACGACGGCTTTTTCTCTTCCTTGCTGTTTCAAGGCAAAATAGTACTAGTGCAAGTCAAACACAACCGGTCTCTGACGAGGACTTGAGCTTCCTCCTGTTCCCAAAGCAGCAGCCAGGTTTGGGATGCATCGGTGACCTGAACCGTCCCGCACCGCAGCACCTGATACACAGCGGACATGGAATGGTCTCTGGCCAGGAACAGCTCTGCCATCACCGCTGGCCACGCTGTCATCCAGATGCTGCCGAACACCTCTCCCTGCGGCTGTAGCATCCTTCGACCGGTTTTCACACCCAGCTGCCACCAGGTGGTAAGGGGGAAGGAGAGGAGACGATGATCGGCCACAAGCATGCAGTGATCACACAGCTGACCTTCCTGGTGCTAACATGGCTTCTGGGAAAGAACTGGTGAAGACTGCTGCTTATTTGGCTAAAACCAAGATATTTTGCTAACTTGCCATTCACTTTGATATCAAAAAAGGAAAGTCTGCTATGATAAAATCTTACGCTCCTGACCCACACAATTTGGGGTTCCTTCATTTTCCAACAAATAAAAGGCAGAGAGCCCTCCTGGCTCTCCACGTGATCTTCCCACGGGCTGGTGAGCCCTTTCCAGCCTTGGCTCCAAGCCTGGACTTGCTCCAGGCAAACGGGCTCCCACTATAGCTATTTTGGGGAGTCCATCCCTTCTCCCCTCCGCCCCCCCACCACAAACACCTCCCCAGGTTTTGTTCGATACTACTTCTGAGGTGAAAGTATGGCCCAAGAGGAAATATTTCTAACACTTCCTTTGCTGAAAGCGAGAGCAGCAGGGACTGAACCAGAGACAGGGAGGCGGTGGGAGCACCCCAGCTCTCTGGTGTCATTCTGTCACATCGTCACCATCAACTGAACTCACCTTCAAACGCAACCTGTTCTGAAATCCACAAAAAACGGCACAAAAATACTCTCATAACCTTACCAGGGCAAACGCACAAGAAATTCTGCTTAAGGAGTTCCAGCTTCTAGAAACCTTTATGGCAACTTCCAACTGTGTCTATTTTAAAGCCTTTTTCCCTGGCCTCATTCCCACCTGTGACCATCGTAAGTATAGCCAAAAATTCCTATTGCATCGCCGGAGTGCAAAAGATGGCCAAAACCAGACAGAGAGCACTGGCTAGAGAGCTCCGCAGAACTCCTAAAAGTAAAACTACAGCTTTTCTCAAAAAGGGCTTTTCTGCTCTACTAGTAGAGTGGTTGCAGCCTCAAATCACATAGTCAAAGTTGAGCAAAACCGTGTGCTCAAAGGGAAACAGCACTAGTGAAAAGCTGGTTTTATCAGCTGCTTCTGGCTGAGAAGCTGGTAAAGGGATAGTTTGTTTTTACTAATGATTGTAATTGTCCAAATATACTTTTGCAAAATCACTTGGGAGTCTACAGAGACCTTACAGGCAGTTGATAAAAGTGACTCCATCAAAACTTTTCATGGGATTGGAAATTAGTATTATTGACTTGTGGCACCGTGATTATTTCAAAAGTCAACTCAGATTTTCTCTGCTAAATTAGACATACAGTATCATACGGAAATCTGTACCAGGGAAGAACACACGTAATGCAAGATTCAAGCAATGACTTAGCATGCACTCTATTTTATATTAGAAAAGGCATGTCTTCACAACAGACACTGGGTAAGTATCAATGTTATTAAACTTTGTTTTCCATGGGAAAGATAGCACAAGGATATCCTTTCAGATTTCATTAACACTGCACATTATTGAACAACAACAAACTACAGGAAAGCGATGACTGCAGAATGCAGTCCCCCCGTACTTTATAATTTTATACTTTATTCTGCATCAAGCCTACGCTACAAGAAGAGGTAGTATAGCTATTCATCAAAACCTCAGCAGAATTTTTGACGTACAAAACAAAGGCTGATGCATCAAATAATAAATTTCAATTTTTAAGCTATATTATGGGGTGGGAAAAAAGTTAGTATTTTCCTGTTCAACTACATACAAATACATCATTCCTGGGACATTACCCAACCCTTACTGAAGCCCCCAGCAAAGCCCCCATAAGCTCTGACCTGTGAAGCGTGGCCATTAGCAGGCTTCACGGAGAGCCAGGCTCACACTCAGGTAGCCCTGTATCCCAGCCCTGAGCAGCTCAAACTATGCAGCATCCTGACAAAGGACATTCAGAAATATGGGATAATTCCTTGTAGCTGGGCACTTCCACACATGAACTGACAAGGTTCTAATTATTTCTTTGCCAATTTTTCACCAATAATTGATGAACAGAAAACAATAATTGTTAAACAAAAAAAAAGTCTGTTAATACTTCCTTTTATCCACGGACATAATAACTGGTAAACACACACAAAAAATATCTTTTAATACTTCACATTTCCTTCTATTCTCAAACATATCTTGCCTTTCTGTCTGCAAGAAGGTGAAGCACTCGATTTTATTTGACAATAAGCATTACATTTTTTCTCACCGGTGCCTGGCCACGCTACCGGTAGCAGAGCAGCTTCTCTGCTTCGTTCAGATAATCAGGCACTAACCGTTCCTCCTCTGCTGAATTAAGCCAAGAAAAAAGTGGGCTAACACATGCTGTATTTACTTCTGCGCCTTTTCAACATATGTGTTATCAGCCCTGCCACAGCCAAGAGATTCCGAATTGCTTCACAGCATACTTGGATTTCTTGCTGCTAATAACCCCTCCGGTCCCCACCACGACTGGCAGGGTCCTTCGTCGCAGCAGTGCAGGGGACAGCTAATTATCTTCCAACCCACCTTGCTGCACCACACTCGGCAACTTTTATCTGCACAGGACAGCTGCATTCTCCCCGTTTGAAGTGAAATGTCAGTCTTCGCTAATGCAACAAGGCTTACATCGCTAACGATGTCCCGACACTTTGAAGAAACAACTCAAAGCCTAATTAAAAATTCAGATTTGGTCTCCTACGCACAGCCATTTTCACTGCCCTTCCACCAGGACCTCTCTCTATCTCTTTGAAATGTTTCATGCCGGAAAAAAAAGAATCTGTGTGGAACAGGATGAAAAACTGCTGCAGTCTTGGGCTTTCAGAGAGCCTTGAAAAAGGCTGCTGTAGCTGCATTCAAACCAAGACATAATCATGTAAAACAGATGAGGTTTTACTCCAATGGTTTATACTCTGTAATTATTACTAAAGTGAGCACTACTGCCAAATAATAATTTTTTTTAAAAAAAAAAAAGATATAGTCAAACATTTATCAGCCTGCCTTACTTACATTTTTCTACTGTATTTCAGCTTCACAAGCTGGAAACAACCTGAAAATAAAAGGAAAAAAAAGGGAAGCAGTTTTCTGTGCTGTCATTTGGCCAAGCGTCCACATAGGTCCAGGTTTCAGACGCGGTGCTGGACGACTTGTGGTGCTTTACATCACTTGCTGCACAAGTACCTCGCAGTCACTGATAGATTTATTTGTAAATACCCATGGAAAGAAGTGGGGAAATGTGTGAAATCCCTGATTTCAGAGATGGAGAACCACAGTTCTGGCATTTCAACTGCTCTGCAGTGCGGCTCAAAATGGGATTTATCTCTTCTAAGTCGTAAATCCACTGTCGTTAGCCAGAAGACCATCCAATTAGAAAAAAAATACTGTATCCTGGCAGTGTTCATTTTCAAAGAGATTAAACAAATGGACAGTTCTGGTGACTGCAACTCTTCCATCACCCAGAAATCTTCAAAGAACATGGATTTTTCAGAACAACGGTGTCAGGGTATCCTCCTCATATAAACCACCGGACATCTCCCCGTCCCCGTGTCATTCTGGTCTGTGCACAATTGTTGTTCTTGAAAAACATACGGCCAGACAAGTTATTAGTAAAATAAATAAAGAATACACTTGCCAATCAACCTGGAGAAGCTTGTACTATGCTGCTTATTATTTTACACATCACTACATCACCTCAGCAAGTATTAATATAAAAAGAAAAAACAAAAAAACACCACACAGGGAAAAAATGACCAGCAAACTGCTGTTTTCAGAGTCAAAATGCATTTTTTTTCTTCCAACCTCCAAGATCAGTAACAGACAATGAGAAAGGGCTGTGCTTCCTTCACGGAGTAAGTGTAAAGGAGTAAGATGGCAGAGCTGCCTTCAAAAATATTCAAGGCCCTCTGGGCCTATAACTTTTGTTACTATCTGGCTAGAAACATCAACATGCATTTTGAAAGTTATAGAAGCACTTAACAATGCTTTTCATCTTCAAAGCATCGCTTAATCCTTTCAACTCTCACTGCCAGTATTATAGCCCCATTTTGGAGGTGGAGATGTTACCTTGCCCCACACTATCAAAAAATAGTCCTCACCTTGGATGCCCCATGCAGATTTAGAGGACTAAACCTTGCCAAAACCAAGCAAAATGCTCACAAAAGTTCTGACTTACTCTTTTCCTGCCTTCACCTCCCAACCAAAGAATTTCAGTTGTTTCAACCAACAACCTACTCTAATTTCAACCAGGTCAGATGAGCCAGGTAACAGGGATGGTGAAAGTCTACCAGCAGACCAGGTCATGCCACAACCACCAATTTAGTTATAATGTTAGTAGAAAGGGGCGCTTATCTTTTAATTAGTGCTGAGCATCAGCTCTGCCCAGGAGAATATATTACAGGACTGTCACGCGAGCTGCTCATTCACCAAGCTCCAGCCCTCCGCGAATTATGACATTAGGCTGTTTAAGATGTAGTCTACTGAGTAATGACAAGTAATACGGCTGCTCAGACGTGATTGCACGCCGTCTTCCAAGGATGCAGTCTGCTGCCAAAAGCTGCCCCCTGTAACAATACAGACGCTGTCAGTATGTGCTCTAGCTAACAAAAAAAGAAGATAACGGTTACGGGTGACTGTAGGTACAGCACCTGCGTCCTGCTGCAGGCACAGCACCCCCGCACGAACCAGCGGCTTCTCCTCCCCCCCCTGTCACAGCGCGGCACCCTCCGTCCCGCGGGAAGGAGAGGGAGGAGTAAGAGATCGCGGTGCGGTTGTTTCTGGTTAATTTGGAAGAAGCGTTGACGAACTTTGGGTAGAACCGTAAACAGATCACCTCTACTGCTCAGGGGAAAAAAAATGCGCAAGCATGTGCACATACACACCGCCCCATACCCCGACGCAGAAAAGGAAATACATGTGGTATTAAGATACTGCAAAGTCATTAACTGTGGGTTTGGTAGAACTGTCAAATGGAGTGGGAGTAATAATTAATCGGTGCAATAGAGGAAGTCAGACAATCGATGAACTT